CCCCAAAACCCCAAAACCCCAAAACCCCAAAACCCCTACATATTGCCCTTTAATGGAAATAAGGAATTATTTTAACTTCTTAGCCATTTCTTTCAATTCTTTCATCTGATTTCCCAATTTCTAAACAGGTTAGACAGAAATACCTGATTTTGATCGGTTATTTTAACAGTTTTGGCTTTGATCTGTTCGATTTGGGACTCTAGAAGATCAAAAAGTTGCTTACGTTTGCCAGAAATGAACTTATCAAATCGTTTCATGAGGTCACTATGTAAAGTTACCTCATTCTTATATTGTCTCTGTACGGATTATTGTGAAGCAATACCTCAACATCCTTCTGCTTTTTAAGCCTATATTTCTCCTCATCTTTCTTAGACTTCTTCTTTTGAAGTTCCACTGTTGGCCTATTGTGCTTGAGCAAGACAGAATTCTCATGAACTTTTCTGAATTCCTTCTGAACTTTAAGGAACTCCAGAGTCTATTATTAATTATACAGGGTACCTTGTGCTGGTGTTTTAATTCCAACTCTTTGAGCTCTTTTTCTCTAGTCCTGACTTGCTGTTTTGTCTCTGCCATTTCTTCCTTGATGTCCTGAATTCTCTGGTCATAGTCATAATTCAGGCCCTATGTGTTATACAGACCATTACTATTTTGAAAGCAGCATCATGCTCCTTTGATAATGTATGAGTTTGTCTTTTAGTCTGCTTATTTCTGTATTTTTAGCTCATCTTGAAGAGTCTCGATATCAGAATTTAAAGTTCTGAGATTGTCCTCAAGCTTGTCCTCTCTAGGGTCTCTGACTCTTGAGCTTATTTGCTTCCTGAGTCGATAAATCTTGTTGTTTGCCTTGCGAATCTCCTTATGGATCTTATCACGAGTTTCTTTCCTGCTTTTAAGTTCAGGATCTTCTTCTTTTGTCTCTTTAGGGGCTTTCTTTACTGTTTTTGATTTCTATGAGTAAACTTATTTAGAAATACATTAACTTTAGCAAGGGAAGTTTTGACAAGCATGCCTATTTCTTCAACCCTCTCTCGGAGTTCCTTATTGGCTTCTAACATTAAGATTGCCTCTTCATCTTCTGAGGCATCAGGTGGAATGTTCTCTTCTAGTTTATGAATTTCGAGGTCAATTTTTTCAATTCCATTCATGACATTTTCAGGGTTAAGATCTTCACGCATTCTCATTATTACACGATTGGTTTGTTTTGGGTATGAAGTTAAAGCAATTCTTCGTCTAGGAGTCAGCATAGAGGAAGTACCTTTTGCCAGATTTAAGATAATCATAGCTGCTATCTCGAACTATCAATCTACTTTTATTCTTAGGCTCTAGTTCATAATGTGTCAGAAATACCTTGTGATAAATTAACAGATTTGCTCATCTTGTTTGGAGAGATTGCTAAAGAAGTTAAGCATTATCATTTACTATTCTCATGCCTTTTCTTAGCTCTATTTGCCTATGGAAGGGTACAAAGGTTAAAATTACACAAGAATGATAGAAATTTGTAAGTGTTTACACAAGATTCTTACTTTTGGGTTATATAGTTTAGAGTCATATGGATTATCATACTCCAAGCTCTGATTACCATAGGAGGATATTTTGCTGTTCTTACCTCCTGTCAGCAAATTCCTGGTGTTCCTATACTTCCTTGTCTCAACTTACTTATCCATTGACAGTACTATTCAATATTTATTTTTATTATAGGGGTTTTGGGGTTTTGGGGTTTTGGGGTTTTGGGG